GTCTGCTGGTATGGCACATCTATCGAACACGCGCTTTCTTGCCTGCTCCTTGTCTACCACACACGATGTCTGGGTTGTTGGCCAGCACTGTTTGGTCAGTCTGGAAGCTGAAGTCCACAGCACCTGGCCCGTGTGGTTCTCAGCCACCCTTCATGTGGTGGCGGCCTGTGGCGATGCTGGCGGTACTTCTATCTCCATCACTGGTACAAGATGTTCCTGTTACATATTCCAGCCACATTGGTGTGTCTCTCCCATGTTTACACTGAACTGCTAGCATCCTTACACCATGCTATGATGGTGTCTGGACTGGTCTCACGGGGCATCTTTGGCTAGTCTGCACCTTGTCAGATCTACTCTTGTAAGAATCTTGCCTCCTCTCTCTCTCGCTCTGCTCTCCTCTCTCCTGGTCTAGCGTTGTATGAGCTATCACGTAACTAGTATATAGTATATTATAGTGGTCCTCCTCTCTCTCTTTCTGCCAACTCATTCATGTCACATTAAGCATATCTACTAAACTTCACTTCTTCCTCGGAGCTGCTTGTGCGTTTCTGTCTTCACAGAGGTTCTCATGGCATCCTTGGTGGAGCTCCTGCCGCATGGTCCTGCTTGACTGCCGTTGACTTCCATTGCTGATATTACTGATATTCTTCTTCTTCTTATTATTATTATTATTATTGTCCATCGTCCCCCATCGCTGTCATTATCATCATCATCATAATCATCATCAGTCATTTCTATTAGCATAGTTGTTGTGTACCTTTGTCTCTGTCTCTGTCCTTCTCTATTTTCCCTCTCTCTCTCTCTAACCCCAACTGGTCGAGGCAGACACCCACCCACTTAGAGCCGAAGGGTCTCTCTTAAAGCAGTTTTTCCTTGCCCCGGTCGCAAGTGGCTTGCTCAGTGGTGGTCACTGTTGGGTCTCTGTAAATAATGTTATAAGAAGTCCGGTCTAGACTTGCTCTATTTGAAAAGTGTCCTGAGATGAAATCAGAATTCATTTTGTCTACATGAGTCTCTCCATGTGCAACTGTTGGCTTTGAGGATAGCAACTGTAGCAGCTGTTTTTCTCATCTTTCTCAGAGAGAAGGATTCATTTCCAACAAACCAGAATTGGTGATTGCTGGAACACTGGAAAGACTAATAAATACTGACTATGGAGTCTGTTAAAGAAAAGGTCTGTCTCTGCAGTGATAACTATTAGTTGGATTTTCATTCCATAAAGATATATTGAAATGTATTAGTCTTCATTACTATGTCTAATTACAATAGATTATTTTAGGTTTTTATTCTGACTCCTCTGCCATGTCCTACACTTTTATGCCCTGGCAGGGAGGACAGCTGTGCCTTGCAAGAAACTGTACCAATATTCACATAAATACCGTCCTCAGCATGTGTCATGGAGCCTACTTTCTCCATTCGTAATTTTCTTGAGTGAATGTTAGTATGTATACTGAGAGGAAGGTACATATTCCTCTTGCTCATTTGGTCCACATTTACATGAAAACTTGATTTTTGAGACATGCTTGTCTTTCTGCTCACATTGGTTTTCTGTAGAAAACGATGTGTATGTTTTAATCATTCTTCTTAAAGGTCTTCTCCACCAACAAGGAGCATTTTGTTTATCTGAGAAATAAACGCTTGCATGCTGGTCTATCCTTCCCACTCACACTACCAACCATCTTCAAATACAACACCAAGTTAAATATTGGTACAAAATTAAAATCCGTTCAAAAGAACACATTTGGAACATACCAGTTGAGGGTATCCTTTAGGAGCTCATACAATAGAGCTGTGGGGACACGTCAGACAAAAATGGGTTGGTAACATTTATAGAATATTTAAACAGAGATTTATAATAATATACCCCATTAAGGTTTGCCAAAGCTTCACAGTGTGTTGTGAGGCCTTCTTGATTTTAAGGGGTGTAAGAAAAGCTCAAATATATACAGTAGGCCTATATCTCAATATTTCATTCATTTCTGTGAAGAAAACTAGATGAAATTATTATTTTAAGATAAAAATCTCACTGGATAAGGGCAGGGTGAAGACCTGAACACAAACTGTATTCACAGAGCCTTCACTCTCTGCTAAACAGCCTCGTCCTGCAGAAATACAGAGTTAAAACAACCAAACAGCTAATATAATGAGAAGATGGAATTTTTACAATGAATTCTTCAAAAAAGGAAGCCCATTAAGTATGTCTCATTGTTAATAATTT